TGGGACCGCCGCAGCCGGAGCGGATCCGACGTAGACGACGGGATCCGCCCAGCTGCGTGAGTGACAATGAAAAGCCCCTCCCCCCCTCATAGTTCTCCTTTAACCACTGAGCCACGGCGTTGCCCATCACCCCGAGGCTCAGCAGGCATGTGCCTATGGGCAGCGGAAGAAATGGGGCTCCTTTTCCTGGTATGATTACCAGTGACACACTTTGATTCCTCCTGAGGGGTCGGGACGCAGCCTTTGCTGCACTCCTTATGTTTTCTATTACATTGTACCATTGATCCTTATTATAGGTACCCGGTGCAGTGCTGTGGGGCCCCCCCGGAACTCTTTTTGGGGCCGATTTTTTCTTTCCTTCCAAGTGAAATATTTTTCTATTCTCTGTAATCCGTCTCTCCGCTGAGAACCGAAATGTAACCAATCAGGGAGCAGCTTTCGGGTTTCGGTAAAAAAAAATCCATTCCTGACATGTCATCAGTCTGCTGCAGGCAGGAGGAAGCATTTCCTCAGTCTCCCCTCCCCCAGTGATCAGTCTGCTGCAGGCAGGAGGAAGCATTTCCTCAGTCTCCCCTCGCCCAGTGATCAGTCCGCTGCAGGCAGAAGAAGCATTTCTTCAGTCTCTCTTCTCCCAGTGATCAGTCTGCTGCAGGCAGGATGAAGCATTTCCTCAGTCTCCCCTCCCCCAGTGATCAGTCTGCTGCAGGCAGGAGGAAGCATTTCCTCAGTCTCCCCTCGCCCAGTGATCAGTCCGCTGCAGGCAGAAGAAGCATTTCTTCAGTCTCTCTTCCCCCCATGATCAGTCTGCTGCAGGCAGGAGGGAGCCTTTCCTCAGTCTCCCCTCCCCCAGTGATCAGTCTGCTGCAGGCAGGAGGAAGCATTTCCTCAGTCTCCCCTCGCCCAGTGATCAGTCCGCTGCAGGCAGAAGAAGCATTTCCTCACTCTCTCTTCCCCCAGTGATCAGTCTGCTGCAGGCAGGAGGAAGCATTTCCTCAGTCTCCCCTCCCCCCAGTGATCAGTCTGCTGCAGGCAGGAGGAAGCATTTCCTCAGTCTCCCCTCCCCCAGTGATCAGTCTGCTGCAGGCAGGAGGAAGCATTTCCTCAGTCTCCCCTCCCCCAGTGATCACGACACGGAATACGCACTGGAAAGGCACTAAAACACAATATACCTTTCAATGAATGTATTTTGTAGCTCACATGTCTGTATGGCAGTGGCTCAGCGGTTAGCACTTGCAGCACTGGTGTCCTTGGTTCAAATCCCAGCCAGGACACTATCTGCATGGAGTGTCCATGTTCGCCTGGTTTCCTCTAACCCTCCATAGACGTGATTGGTTCTAGTATATGAGATGGGGAAAGCTTAAGAAGCCAGCCCCAGATTTGCAGGTTCTAGATAGGAGCAGACCCCGAGCAGTGGCCATAGGGAACCTTCATGTAGACGGGACGAGAGCCGGAAGGGTTACTCCAGGGCGGTCACGTTATCTAAAGTCATCTCCTCTGCTGCTCCGTCCGGAGGCGGCAGAATAATTATCACTAATAACAGGAACTTGGCTTTGCCGAGAACACAGTAATTCACGTGGGAAGACGCTCCCAGACAACCCCGCCGTGCTCCACTCTAAATCCAGTCTGGCCTACCGGAATTCCACAAATGAACCCGGCAGAGGTCAATGGAAGGCGGCCAAGAGGACCAGCTTCTCCTGCTCCTCAGAACCCGGAGGAGATGGTGCCGCTCCACATAAAGGGTAACTTGCCGAATGTGTTGAAGGCATCTCGACCTTTCTTGTTTTTGGTGCTGGAACGAGGAGGTCAACCCGGGGTTGGCCAAATTTTTTTGGTAAGGATGGGTTTGAAGGGCTTACTCAACTGTGCTAACTCACCGGCAACATCCAACGACATGGTGATCGGTAACGAGGAGGTCAACACGGGGTTGGCCAGAAATTTTGGTAAGGATGGGTTTGAAGGGCTTACTCAAGTGTGCTAACTCACCGGCAACATCCAACGACATGGTGATCGGTAACGAGGAGGTCAACACGGGGTTGGCCAAACTTTTTGGTAAGGATGGGTTTGAAGGGCTTACTCAACTGTGCTAACTCACCGGCAACATCCAACGACATGGTGATTGGTAACGAGGAGGTCAACACGGGGTTGGCCAAATTTTTTTGGTAAGGATGGGTTTGAAGGGCTTACTCAACTGTGCTAACTCACCGGCAACATCCAACGACATGGTGATCGGTAACGAGGAGGTCAACACGGGGTTGGCCAGAAATTTTGGTAAGGATGGGTTTGAAGGGCTTACTCAAGTGTGCTAACTCACCGGCAACATCCAACGACATGGTGATCGGTAACGAGGAGGTCAACACGGGGTTGGCCAAACTTTTTGGTAAGGATGGGTTTGAAGGGCTTACTCAACTGTGCTAACTCACCGGCAACATCCAACGACATGGTGATTGGTAACGAGGAGGTCAACACGGGGTTGGCCAAATTTTTTTGGTAAGGATGGGTTTGAAGGGCTTACTCAACTGTGCTAACTCACCGGCAACATCCAACGACATGGTGATCGGTAACGAGGAGGTCAACACGGGGTTGGCCAGAAATTTTGGTAAGGATGGGTTTGAAGGGCTTACTCAAGTGTGCTAACTCACCGGCAACATCCAACGACATGGTGATCGGTAACGAGGAGGTCAACACGGGGTTGGCCAAAAATTTTTGGTAAGGATGGGTTTGAAGGGTTTACTCAACTGTGCTAACTCACCGGCAACATCCAATGACATGGTGGTCGGTAACGAGGAGGTCAACACAGGGTTGGCCAAAAATTTTGGAAAGGATGGGTTTGAAGGGCTTACTCAACTGTGCTAACTCACCGGCAACATCCAACGACATGGTGATCGGTAACGAGGAGGTCAACACGGGGTTGGCCAGAAATTTTGGTAAGGATGGGTTTGAAGGGCTTACTCAAGTGTGCTAACTCACCGGCAACATCCAACGACATGGTGATCGGTAACGAGGAGGTCACACGGGGTTGGCCAAATTTTTTTGGTAAGGATGGGTTTGAAGGGCTTACTCAACTGTGCTAACTCACCGGCAACATCCAACGACATGGTGATCGGTAACAAGGAGGTCAACACGGGGTTGGCCAGAAATTTTGGTAAGGATGGGTTTGAAGGGCTTACTCAAGTGTGCTAACTCACCGGCAACATCCAACGACATGGTGATCGGTAACGAGGAGGTCAACACGGGGTTGGCCAAAAATTTTTGGTAAGGATGGGTTTGAAGGGTTTACTCAACTGTGCTAACTCACCGGCAACATCCAATGACATGGTGGTCGGTAACGAGGAGGTCAACACAGGGTTGGCCAAAAATTTTGGAAAGGATGGGTTTGAAGGGCTTACTCAACTGTGCTAACTCATCGGCAACATCCAACGACATGGTGATCGGTAACGAGGAGGTCAACACGGGGTTGGACAAAAATTTTGGTAAGGATGGGTTTGAAGGGCTTACTCAACTGTGCTAACTCATCGGCAACATCCAACGACATGGTGATCGGTAAGTCCATGAAAACTGAACAATGGTTTCCATTCTCGTAAGCTCTGAGGAACTGCGGCCCAAGAAGAACATGTTGACTTTGCAAACATTCTATCGTTGGAATGAGCTTGGATTTGGACTTGAATTTTACGGCATGGTGTCTCCAACCCTTCCTTTGAGTAGAGTTGGACTACACCGTACAGGGATAAGGTGTTTGGTTAAAGTTTGGGTTGTAATAAGAGGATACAATAAGGGTCTGTGTCGGGCTTTGGCCTGAAAAGTGTGGACACCGGCACTCCATCGCAATGAGCATGTTTTGCACGTGCGTCAATGAATAGACCTACTTCTAGCTTTGGAGTGCCGGTGTGAACACTTTTCTGTATTGCTGGACGGTAGCCGATGCACCCAACCATTCTTACTATGGATAAGCGGTCAGGAGTGCAATGGGTATATGGATTGTAACTAGAAATCACAGGGCTCTATAGCAAATTTTTGTATGGGGCCCCGTGATTTCTAGTTATACCCCTTGCAGAGCCCACTTGAGATCCCACACAGCCCACCTGAGGGTGACCCTGCAGAGCCCACCATAGACTCTCCATGGTGGGCTCTGCAGGGTCACCCTCAGGTGGGCTGGTAGCACTCTTTACCTGACCGGAGTGTCCGCCTCCTCTTCCTCCACCGTCGCTGATGGGCCCCGCCTCTTACCTCCACTGCCGGGTCCAGCCTGCTCCACCGCCGCTGCTGGCTCTCATTTACTCTGTGGAGAGGAACGCGCCGCTGCAGAGATGTACTGTCAGTGATCTGAACAGCGGCGCATTCTTCTTCAGAGCCGCCAGTGAAAGCCACCAGCAGAGGATGCCATAGCGACCCAGGCGGCCCGCATGGCATCTGGCGGGGCCCCACTGTGCCCCAGGCCCCATAGCGGCTGCCTGGGTCGCTATGGTGATTGTTACGCCACTGGATTGAAGGGCTTTGGCCTGAGTCATTAGTTTGATATCAGTATGAGAAGCTTCTGAGATCCTGCATGATTCATTGGAAGGTGCACTTGACTTAAGGTTGACCTCCTTCTGACCTGCTTTTTACCGTTTTGCATTCCTATAGACTACAAAACCCATCTGAGGGAAACAAAAGCCCAACATGGGCCCTCAGAGTAAAGTAGATCTAAACCCACTCCCATAAGTCTCATAAACTTGAACATGTTTTATGTAATTTCACTAATGGTTTGTATATCTGCATTGAAGGTCCTTCTTTGGGGGTGGGGAAAGGTCTTGTGTGAAGGTTTAACTCGGCAGTACGGTTGAGTTTAGGGTTTGGATGAGAAGAGGGTTGATTGTGAAGGGTCACAATATGACTGAGTGTCAGGGCGTGTGGAAGGACATTTTTGAACACATGGTCCCTTGACCACATTGCTCCGAGGCCTGATATCTTTGTAGACTTTGCTTTCAGAGATGATGAAGTACGGCTCATTCTTTTTTTTCCAGTCAAGCTCTCCTTGCCGTCATCAATGCGCCTCATCGGCCTTCCGAACAATTACACGGCCGCACAGCTCCATTTGCATTGGGGGAGTGAGGAACATCCAGGAGGCGCTGAGCACTACATCGATGATCAAGAATACCCAGCAGAGGTGAGATCTTACATGCCAACACCAGTGGGAATTAAAGGTCAGTCCACCCAAAAATGAAACGTCATCTACTGACTTTTTATATGTCATGGGGACATAGGCCATAAATCCTCGGCCTGTTCTGGCCCACCTGGACGTTTTGGCTGTTCCCCTCTGCCTTGGTGGCCTCCTGGCTCCTCTTGTTATAAAATAATGAAAGATCTAGCAGAGATGATGATCATTTTGGGTTTGACCAACCACCCCGAAGAACATTTATGTTTTGTCCCGAGTCCTAACAAGCATTGGCCAAGCATTTGGTCATATCTGCTCAAACCAATTACAGGGAGTATTTAGTCACTTTGATAGCACCCCAATGTTCTCCGTAGGATCTCTGGTTCCCCAATACTATAATGATATCCCAAGGAGATATTAAATAACAATATGGAACAGGTTTGGTTCTTAGATTGTGTATTTATTGAGGTCAAAGTCAACATATAAACACCACAAACACAGAACATGGCTCTTCATGACACTTCTTCTTGAAGACCACAACTGAAGGTCTTCTGGTCAGTAGCCCACCAAGTGGAGGAACTCGAGTGTCCTACACAGAGCCCTGACCTCAACCCTACTGAACACCGTTGGAATAAAGGGCAGTTGTGTTCTTCCAGCCTTGTGGTAACAGTTTAAGGAAGGCCCTCTTCTTTTCCACCATGACTGTCCCCTGTGTACAATGCCAGCTCCATAAAGACATGGTGTGACCAGTTTGGTGTGGAGGAACTCGAGTGTCCTGCACAGAGTCCTGACCTCAACCCTACTGAACACCTTCGGGATGAGTTGGAAACCCAACTGCAAACCAGGTCCTCTCATCCAACATCCGTAGCTAACCTCCCTAACACTCTTTTGGTTGAGTGGGCACAAGATACCCTCTAACCTCCCAGAAGAATGGAGGCTGTCATAGATGCAAGGGAAGATGGGAAGGGTTAGGTCCATATTGATGCCCATAGCTTTGGACAGGTATGTCCAACAAATAGGTGTGATGGTCATGTATCCACAAACATTTGACCATAGGGAATTTGGTACAATTTCAAAACTGCCCCCTCCAATGGCCATATGTGTAAGAGACTATATATACTATATGTATGTGTAAGAGCCTATATCTTCAGTGAAAGACTGCCGAGATGAAACCAATTGGAGGATGTCACCTGTTGATAATATTATGTTATGAAGACTGTAACAGGAAGAGTTGGAACACATAAAGGTGGACGGAGACACCCAGGGTCGGATTCCCGACAAGGCCACCAAGGCCGGGCCTCGGGGGGCGGCACTGAGCAGAGGGGCGGCACAGGTTTGAAGTCACCCGACCAAGGCCGGGCCTCGGGGCCGCACGGAGCAGAGAGGCGGCACAGGTTTGAAGTTCCCCAGGCCCCCCGGAACATGGAGTTCTGGGCGCCGGGTGGTAATTTGTTTTCCACATTTAGCCCTGCTTTAGGAGTGCTGGAACTCCTGTATTGGGAGTGACAGGGGTCAATAAAGAGAACCTGTCACCTCCAAATGCTATCGCACAGGGGGATTGTTTGCTCCTGTGTGATAGCAATAAAGTTAAGTGAATGCAAAATTGATCAAAAAATTTAAATGATTACATTAAAAAACAAAGTAAAAAATAAATAAAGAAAAAATTATAATTAAAAAATAATAATTATAAAGAAAAAAAATTATAAGATAAAAAAATAGAAAAAGTAAAAGTGGCTGAGGGGCGCATTGCGGAACCTGGCCTTGGGGCAGCAGGGAGAGTAAATCCGGTCCTGGAAACACCCAAAACTCCCAAGTAGACAGGAACCGAGGTGGGGATTATGACATGTTGGAGCATCCAAGACATAGAAGTAGCCAGGGGTGACTCAGCCGACCAGGCTCCAACCATACCTAAGAATGGACTAACCCTTTAATAAAATTCTCCACAGACCTAAAAAGCAGGCCTTCTTCTGGGCTTCAGACATGCTCAGCAGCAGCAGCAGTGGAAGGCTTGCCAATTTTTATGTCCGCTGGCCCTTTAAGTCCTTATAAGGTTATTCGTATCTTAACTACATTGCTATGAGGCTTATAATCTTACTGCGTGTTTTGTAGTATTAGACGCGGCTCAGGCTAAGTAAATATATTCTCTGCTGGAGTCCTTTGTCCCCCGGAGACCTGGCAAAGAGCTCTGCTTGGCCCGCGCACAAGCTAAGCAACGCCATGCAGAAATACTTTTATATACAGTTCAGTTAAAGGGCCGGCAATCATAAAACGGGAGTTGGGTCCTAGGATAGGTGAGATTGGAGCTATGGTGCCTCCGAAGGATCGCCCCCTGGACTACAAATGTTGCTAGAGGCCAAGACCAGCCAACTGAGCATCAGCAGACCTGAGAGAAGGACAGCAGAGGTTGCCAAATGCCAACCTGTACGTTGGCAGACCCCGGGAGAAGGGACAGCGGTGGGTCCTGGAGATACACGGTATGAAGAAGACCAGGAGGACTTCTGTCTATGGCAAGCTCTACCATTTCCTACAGCCAGGCACATAAGGGAAAGTTCCTCCTCGAGTCTCCGGCTTTTGGCTTTGACATTTTAGCCGCAGTCACAGATGAAAAGCCGCTCAGACACACTAAAAATTAACCCGTCTGGACTCCCAGCGGGCAGCGGCCAGTTTTCTGGTTCAGTAAGCCCACGCGGATTATGAACCTGCGGGAAGCCACCATCCAGCTATGAGAAATTGGCTCACTGACCGTAACCGGTGACCCCCATATGGCTCCAACATGGACAACAAAGGGCCTGAGACAGCCGAGTCAGCGATGTGTCACCTTCCGATGTATGGGCGCGCAACCCGGTGCACTAAGGCGGGATTAGGCTTTGATGGCATCGTCCTGTCCAAATAGTTCTGCAGCCTAAAGACCACATGGTACCCCTAGAGTAGATATAAACCCAACCCAAATCTCATCACGTGTTCACGTCACTAGAAGTCATGTGATCTGCAGTATACAGTATAGAAACCCAAATGGCCAATCTCATATCAGCTTTAACGTGTTCATGTCCCTTTAAAAGTCATGTGATCTGCAGCATACAGTATAGAAACCCTATGACGAATCTTATATCAGCTGTAGCGTGTTCATGTCCCTTTAAAAGTCATGTGATCTGCAGTATACAGTATATAAACCCAAAAGGCCAATCTCATATCAGCCGTAACGTGTTCCTGTTGCTTTAAAAGTCATGTGATCTGCAGTATACAGTATAGAAACCCTATGACGAATCTTATATCAGCTGTAGCGTGTTCATGTCCCTTTAAAAGTCATGTGATCTGCAGTATACAGTATACAGTATAGAAACCCAAAAGGCCAATCTCATATCAGCCGTAACGTGTTCATGTCCCTTTAAAAGTCATGTGATCTGCAGTATACAGTATATAAACCCAAAAGGCCAATCTCATATCAGCCGTAACGTGTTCCTGTTGCTTTAAAAGTCATGTGATCTACAGTATACAGTATAGAAACCCAAATGGCCAATCTCATATCAGCCGTAACGTGTTCCTGTTGCTTTAAAAGTCATGTGATCTACAGTATACAGCAGCGGTAGCCAAACTCCGGCCCTCCAGCTGGGGTGTATCTACAAACCCCATGATGCATCTCTCTCCGGGAGTCATGTCTGCGGCTGTGAGGATCTTGCAATGCCTCATGGGGGATTTGTAGTTCCACCCCACAGCTGGAGGGCCGGAGTGTGGTATACAGTATATTAACCCCAAATGGCGCATCTCATATCGGCTTTCACGCGTTCACGTCGCTTTAAAAGCAGGTCAAAGTTCAAAACTAGTTTCTGATTCTTTTTTAAATTTGCAGATGCCATTTAAATAATCCCTGCGATCCCGCCATGAGGGACCTTGTCCAGGCACTTTCTGTTAAAGGGCGACGCCGCTCTGTCCTGGTCTCCCAGTTGCCCTCCAGCGTTGTCACCCTGCCCTCAAATGGAGACTACTAAGTTACCATTTCAGCACACATTAAGCAGACATGGCCCACTGCTGTCACCATCAGTGAACCGGCCCTGAGAAATACCATGCGTCCAGCGCTGGAGTGGTGCAAAGAGGCTGCAGGGGGGTGTTTATGATACACGGGGGATTTAGCTATCTAAATGCCATCCAGTTAGGGCTTACAGGGGTCACTCAACCAAAGAGTTGTTATTTCATGATGGAGGGGCACTGGAACCTTAAAGGTAATCTTTTCACATGAGGTCAGATAGTATAGATCTGTTGAATAATGTTTGTGAAAAAGCTCAATATAGTTTCAATTTAAACAGGGAGGTAGATATATGAGAGAGAATGAGCATATAAATGTCACCATCGCTATCCCTGTAGTATCAGTGGTTACAGTCACATGCTCATTCCCTCCACCGCTCTCTAGAATTGTAAAATTGTATCTCCTTAGTAACATGTATTGACCTCCTGTGATCCTCTGCGCCATCTAGTGGCCACAATTAGGTATTTCCCCCTATTCCCTCCACCGCTCTCTAGAATCGTTACATTGTATCTCTTGTTACTACAATGTATTTATTTCCTGTGATCCTCTGCGCCATCTAGTGGCCACAATGAGGTATTTCCCCCCATTCCCTCCACCGCTCTCTAGAATTGTTACATTGTATCTCTTGTTACTACAATGTATTTATCTCCTATGACCCCTGGCGCCATCTAGTGGCCACAATGAGGTATTTCCCCCCCATTCCCTCCACTGCTCTCTAGAATTGTTACATTGTATCTCTTGTTACTACAATGTATTTATTTCCTGTGATCATCGGCGCCATCTAGTGGCCACAATTAGGTATTTCCCTCACTCACTCAGTTCTTTATGAATTAACCTATCGCAGAACATTCGACCAGAAGAATATATTCAGGAATTGGAATGTATAAGGATTGTGGCACCGGGGGGACTTGTGTGTGCTTAGGCAGGTTTCAGGCTAGGCTCAGTATAAGGTTTGAGGGAAGTTCCTAGCTTTGTCATTCATTAAATCAATGTAACAATGTCCCGTGTCTCTTTTTACCCCGCAAAACAAGCTGCACATCGTCCATTATAACTCCGATGCCGGCAAAATAAATGACGTCAAAGACAAGCCGAATGGACTGGCGGTCCTGGGGATCCTTATCGCGGTGAGCGACGCGCTGTCCGGCTTCTTGTTTGTCTGATTCTCTGATATTTGAATATATATCATTTATATCCGATTTCTACCTTTCATCCTCGCTGAGCAGACCGGGCCCAGGTCCAACCCAGGCTTTGCCAACATCATCAACCATCTGGGGAGAGTCAGCTACGCAGGTGAGAAGAAGACGCACGGCATGTTAGAGTGGCAGCACGGCATGTTAGAGTGGCAGCAAAATGTATTTCTAACGTCAGACCAAATTCTTTCATTTTAGTTTTATATAAGAGTTCAAATCTATTGGGGCCAAATACATTAACATGGAGTGTTCCCCTCCCCCCATGGCCATTGTTATGAAGTGCCCCCTCCCCTTATGGCCATTATTATGGAGTGTTCCCCTGACCACATGTCCATTAATATGGAGTCCCCCCCTTTTCCCTCATGGCCATTAATATGGAGTCCCCCCCTTTTCCCTCATGGCCATTAATATGGAGTGCCCCCCTTTTCCCTCATGGCCATTAATATGGAGTGCCCCCCTTTTCCCTCATGGCCATTAATATGGAGTGCCCCCCTTTTCCCATGGCCATTATTATGGAGTGTTCCCCTGCCCACATGGCCATTAATATGGAGTGCCCCCCTCTCCCCATGGCCATTAATATGGAGTGTTCCCCTGCCCACATGGCCATTATTATGGAGTGCCCCCCTCTCCCCATGGCCATTATTATGGAGTGTTCCCCTGCCCACATGGCCATTAATATGGAGTGCCCCCCTCTCCCCATGGCCATTAATATGGAGTGTTCCCCTCCCCCCATGGCCATTATTATGGAGTGCCCCCCTCTCCTCATGCCCATTATTATGGAGTGTTCCCCTGCCCACATGGCCATTAATATGGAGTGCCCCCCTCTCCCCATGGCCATTAATATGGAGTGTTCCCCTCTCCCCATGGCCATTATTATGGAGTGTTCCCCTGCCCACATGGCCATTAATATGGAGTGCCCCCCTCTCCCCATGGCCATTAATATGGAGTGTTCCCCTCCCCCCATGGCCATTATTATGGAGTGCCCCCCTCTCCTCATGCCCATTATTATGGAGTGTTCCCCTGCCCACATGGCCATTAATATGGAGTCCTCCCCTCTCACCTCATGGCCATTAATATGAAGTGCCCCCCTCTCCCCATGGCCATTATTATGGAGTGCCCCCCTCTCCCCGTGGCTATTAATATGGAGTGCCCCCTCCCTCCCCTGTACTTAAATATGAATTAGGTCCCCCCATTAGGGGTATACTATCCTCCACTCTTCTGGGAAGACTTTCCAAAAGATTTTGGATTGTGTCTGTGGGAAAGTGTCCCATGTCCCCTGCCCACATGGCCATTATTATGGAGTGCCCCCCTCTCCTCATGCCCATTATTATGGAGTGTTCCCCTGCCCACATGGCCATTAATATGGAGTGCCCCCCTCTCCCCATGGCCATTAATATGGAGTGTTCCCCTCCCCCCATGGCCATTATTATGGAGTGCCCCCCTCTCCTCATGCCCATTATTATGGAGTGTTCCCCTGCCCACATGGCCATTAATATGGAGTGCCCCTGTCTCTCCATGGCCACTAATATGGAGTGCCCCCGTCTCCCCATGGCCATTATGATGGAGTGCCCCCCTCTCCCCATGGCCATTATGATGGAGTGCCCCCCTCTCCCCATGGCCATTATTATGGAGTGCCCCCGTCTCCCCATGGCCATTATGATGGAGTGCCCCCCTCTCCCCATGGCCATTATTATGGAGTGCCCACCCTCTCCCCATGGCCATTATTATGGAGTGCCCCCCTCTCCCCGTGGCTATTAATATGGAGTGCCCCCTCCCTCCCCTGTACTTAAATATGAATTAGGTCCCCCCATTAGGGGTATACTATCCTCCACTCTTCTGGGAAGACTTTCCAAAAGATTTTGGATTGTGTCTGTGGGAAAGTGTCCCATGTGTGAGGTCAGGTACTGATGTTGGATGAGAAGACCCGGATCACATTTGGTATTCCAATTCATCCCAAAGGTGTTCAGTAGGGTTGAGGTCAGGGCTCTGTGCAGGACACTTGGGTTCCTCCACCACACTGATCACACCATGTCTTTATGGAGCTGGCTTTGTACACAGGGGACAGTCATGGTGGGACAGAAAAGGGTCTTCACCAAACTGTGACCACAAGGCTGGAAGAGCCCAATTGTCTACAATGTCCTTGTATGATTTAGAATGAAAAGAACCCTCCAATGGAGACGCCTGAACTCCATAATTTGGAGGGGTGTCCTCATACGTTTGGCCATGTAGTGTCTGTGGGATCCTCATGTTGATATCTCCTACAGAACAGAGTGTTCCCATTCCATCCTTTAACATTGAAGACCTGCTGCCTAGCAATCTGGACCGGTATTTTCGCTACAGCGGCTCCCTGACCACACCACCCTGCTCCCAGAGCGTCGTCTGGACCGTTTTCTCCAACCCCGTCCAGATCTCCGAGTCTCAGGTAAGTGGATGGTGGACTCACGGTGTTCCATGCAAATAGTTTTGGATAGAGTAGAGAATTGTTAAAACCCCTGGCGGGTTTTTTTTTTCTCCTGTGTCCCTGTTGTGGGGTTCTCCCTCATTTCCTGTCCTGGAGACATAACAGGAAGTGATGGTAAATCTCTCCACGGTGACAGGAAATCCATTCTTAGCACGGTTTGTGTCCTGGTGACAATGGTCATCGGGACGAATAAAGAGGGTGAACCACCCCAATGGGGGACACTGGCAGCAATAGGCACCTGACCTCACCGCTCTGTCCAAAACTCAAAAAGGAGAAAATTAGGTTTTTACCAAATTTGACATTAAATCCTAACTTTCTGTAGATGGAAACACTGCGCACCACACTTCACTCTACTCCAATGAACCGACCCCCGGCAGTCCTAGAAAATAACGTCCGGCACATTCAACCAGTGAATTACAGAACCGTATACGTCTCCTTCGTGATGGAGAAAGGTACGTTCCACCATCGGGGCACCATGACATAGTTGTGGGTTGTACCATCGCATCCTTGGTGAGGTGTCCATAATGGCTCCAGATTGGTGAGTCTCATGTCCCTACAAGTCTGTCCAGGACCAGTCCATGGGTAGAGCAGCAGAGGTAGTTGAGTTGGCTTGGCCCAAAAGCTCAAGAAGATCCCACTGACCACATGTAAGACCTCAACTCTTGTAAGCTTTAGAGTTGGACATTAGTAGTGCCATGTTTACCGCAGTCCATTGTGTCCCGACCACAGCTGTGCCCATTATGAGGGGCTCCCACCACCCCTGTGCTGAGTTCCCGGGTCTGTACACCCTCTGTGCCCATTATGAGGGGCTCCCACCATCCCTGTGCTGAGTTCCCGGGTCTGTACACCCACTGTGCCCATTATGAGGGGGCTCCCACCATCCCTGTGCTGAGTTCCCGGGTCTGTACACCCGCTGTGCCCATTATGAGGAGCTCCCACCATCCCTGTGCTGAGTTCTCGGGTCTGTACACCCGCTGTGCCCATTATGAGGAGCCCTCACCATCCCTGTGCTGAGTTCCTGGGTCTGTACACCGGCTGTGTTTGGGGGGCAGTGTAACACGTATAACATTTGATTTGATTTGTTATATTTCTGCACTTTTATCCTTTTCGTCTCTCTCTTTGTCTTGCAGGACTCTCTGCAGGTAAGTTCCTTCTCTTTTTTATCACATCCTCCATGTAGCTGGAAGTGGACAGATGACATGTGACTGCTCTTTGGGTGAATTTGTTTCTTTTTCATGTTTATAACTGATATTTGATACAATATAAAATCCGCTCTTCTATGGAGAGAACACGACGACACTGCACTAGCTGTTTGCCTTCGGACTCTCTAAATGGAAGTTCACACAGAGCAGGGAGGGAAGGAGAGGGTGGGTGCGGCGGAGTCTGTCTGGAGGGACTTCCTCTTCCAATGGGGACACACCCCCCAATAAAACAATATGAAGCATCTCACCAACCCTTCCTGACTCCTCCCACTCTGGATGTCTCTATGACTCTATGTTCCATGCAATGGCTTCTTCTCCTTATCTCCTCTTTCTCCCATGCAGGTGTGACCGTGGCCATCGTGTTCGGAGTGATCGGAGGGGTGCTGCTCCTCTCCATAGCTCTGTACCTTGTCGTCATGGCGATCAGGTAAGGCATTCCGCCAGCGGCTCGTTCAGCCTAGATGTAGAGTGCGCTATCTGACATATGGTCATTAGACATTGTACTGTATCCACAATCTGTTGAATGAGATATCGGTTTCTACAGCAGCATCATGTTCTGTAGGACTTTACAGACTACATACTGCCACTGACACCAGTCCCTGTCCCCAAGAGCTTACATTCTAATGTCCCTCCCACAGTCACATTCGTATCCTTTTAGAATTTTTGGATTGTGGGAACTGCGGAAACCCATAGAGAGCATTACGAACCCTATGCCATTAATGTTTCCGGTGGGCACTGAGCCCGAGACATCATTGCTGTAAGGATTTCCATACGGTCCCGTCATGGAAATGCAGCTCCGTGAGGATGTGATACGTGGAAACTGGTATCAGAAATCATTCAATTTCACTCCTCACATAGAATAGTAACCCAAACAAATGCTCCACAAAGTGATAAGGGCCACTTTAGCATGCCGTGAGTACTACCCTAGCTTGGAAAATCAGAGTCATCTTCATCCAAACCACTGAAGACTGCAAATTGATGGGTCTGCTCCGTCTATGACTGGCCTTAGTTAGGAAACTGCACCACCTGGAGGCTGATTTAGGTATTGTGCCAACCGGGATCCTCAACAGCAAATAGTTTATAGCAGGGGTAGCAAACCTCCGGGCCTCCGGCTGTGGGGTGGAACTACAAATCCCATGAGGCATTGCAACATTCTCACAGCCACGACTCCCGAAGAGAGATGCATCGTGGGATTTGTAGTTTCACCGCAGCTGGAGGGCCGGAGGTTTGCTACCCCTGGTTCATAGCAAGGGTGGGCAGCCTCAGTTACAAGGTTACCCTTGGGTTATAGGTACACAAAACGGCCAACAGTATGTGGACACTCCCTCAAAATTATGAGGTTCAGGTGTTTTCAATGCAGGGTATGGGTATTGCTACATCATACAGACACTTTGTAGACAATTGGGCTCTTCCAGTCTTGTGGTCACAGTTTGGTGAAGACCCTTTTCTGTCCCACCATGACTGTCCCCCGTGTACAAAGCCAGCTCCATAAAGACATGGTGTGACCAGTTGGGTGAAGGCGTTTTTCTGTCCCACCATGACTGTCCCCGGTGCACAAAGCCAGCTACATAGAGACATGGTGTGACCAGTTGGGTGAAGACACTTTTCTATCCCCCCCATGACTGTCCCCGGTGCACAAAGCCAGCTCCATAAAGACATGGTGTGACCAGTTGGGTGAAGGCCCATTTCTGTTCCACCATGACTGTCCCCGGTGCACAAAGCCAGCTCTATAGAGACATGGTGTGACCAATTGGGTGAAGGCCCCTTTCTGTTCCACCATGATTGTCCCCTGTGCACAAAGCCAGATCCATAGAGACATGGCCTGACCAGTTGGGTGAAGGCCCTTTTCTGTTCCACCATGACTGTCCCCTGTGTACAAAGCCAACTTCATAAAGTCATGATATGACCAGTTTGGTATGGAGGAGCTCGAGTGGCTACATCGAGACCTGACCCAAACCCTGTTGATTGACTTTAGAATGAACTTGAATGCCAATGGCATACCAAGTCTTCTCATCCAGAAGATGAGGCTCAAACTCTCACAGACACTCTCCAAACTCTTGTGGAAGCTTTAACAGAGGACTGGAGGATGTTATAGCCTTAAAAGAAGGAAGGACATTTCCATATTTTTGGAAATGGATGTTCAACAAGTTCACCTAGGTGTGATAGTCAGGTGTCCACCAACGTTTGGCCATGTAGTATATGCGCTGCTCGTATTTATCATTTCATGCAACTGTCCTTCTTTTCTTCACAGGAGACCAATTGCCCAGATAGGAAAAGCCTAACGATGCCTCCTTCTATGACTCTGAGGCTTCTCAGTACAGCTGCAAATACCATTATGCCTTAACCCGACAATATGAAGGTCTTAAACCCGGCTCCCTCTACGCTACTGGTAAAGCAAGATTCTGAATCCAGTTTTAATGCTGTGAAGCTTCTCTCCACACGCTGGACCTAAAAACTGCGCTCCCATATGCACAACGCTGATCCGATATCCATTATAGACTTTTGCTTCTCCGGTAACGGCCTTATTTATCAAAGCGTCCGAATGGACAACTGTTTATCACATCGAAAGGTTTCATTTTATTGGAAAATTAAGAAGACGATCTGCCGGCTTTGGCCAACAGAACTTTTTTCTCCTTGGGACAATTTTGGAGGCCCTTTGACCACTACCTGTCCGGCCACATGATGTCTCCAGCCAATGGTCAACCTGAATGACCTACCCTTAGCGCCAAGGCGGTTTTCCATCTTCCGGAGATGTTTCGGTATCTGAAGGATGGAGACGCTCATAGACTTTTGAATGTGGCCTGCTGGTTTGAAGGACCTTTTAGGACCTTGACATGTTTACTTGGATTTTAGACTCTTTTAAGGACAAAGGGCGAATTCTCCGCCCAGCTGTAAATCCATTTTATGTGGGTTAGTGATAAGCTGGGTTTGATATCAACTGAAATGGTCACGATAGAAAAAGGGGACTTGTTTTTGAAGATGCTCCAGGGGGTTGAAGACGTTCCAGGGGTTTGAAGACGTTCTGGGGTCTTGCCTTACTTAACAAGTCACTGTCCTGGAGCATGAAGGTCCTGCAGGTCAGGAGTTCCGGCCTCCACTGTTCACATGTTTCAGGTCTTCAATTAGCGAACAGCTCTAAAAACAAGTCAGCTTCTGTATTTCTGTCTTGACCATTGTCCCCTTTAATGCTGCTATGAGAGACACATGGATGCCCTCTCCTAAGTCTGGTTGCCTGGCTGTCATGATGACCCTCTTGCTTCAATATTTGATACTGGTGAAAGGCAAACAGATTTTTCTGACTTTCAAACTTTTCTGAGTCGGCGGTGCAGAAAATACCGCAGCCAGAGGGTCACTAAAACAACCGGGTAACTAACATTTTCAGTAGGAGGTCAACAGTGGTAGACTCTGTTCTTTTCTATTGACGGGTCTACTTCAGAGCCGACCTTCGGGCAAATTTGTATTTTTGGATAGAGTAGGGAGGAGTTCAAACTTCTACCATGTTGTGGGGAGACTTGCCCTCATTTCCTGTCTCCGGGATACTCGAACAAGAAGTGGCTAGAGCCTAACGAGAGGTCATGGAGAACCATTAACACGCCGGCAGGACTTCTAACCCTTCCGAGTCTACTAAAAATGTGTTTTCCTATCTCCCTTTGTTCTATTGAAGAGATTTCCCATCAGCTCCGGTCTCTGGTAGGAAGTGAAATCTCCCCCAATTTGGAGATAGAGGGTAATACAAACTTGGAAGAGGCCCCAAGCCTTTCTGGCTGTATCCAAAAGGAAATACATATTTTGCCTGGAGATGTAATTCTGGCATGCGCCATTGTGGTGGCAGTGGAGACAATTTGGGCATTTGTAGTGTCCTATGATGGCCAATCCTAATCCCTTGTAACATGAGATCCCCCTGACCAGCAACCTGGTCACTTTTGTAGATGACCCCTCTTGGAGTGCCTTATCCACTTATTTTCACCATTGAAGAGGTCCTTGAAGAGGACACTTCTGTTGTGAAACCTGTCAATAATTAATAGCGGTTCTGTACATTTTTAATATGTTTGCCAAAAAAAGTATTTTTTGTCCCCGGAACTACCTCTTCCCATGGAAAGACTTGGCCTACCAGTTGAAGGCCTGGGCAATGGTGGCCAAGTTAGGACATTCCTCAGACATATCTCTGCTCTTCACTAGTCTTCCTTCTAATCTCCATCGTCCCTCTTAGTGAAGAGGCAACTTGTATAAACTCAATAATTCTGTTTGTATGGTGGACCTGTACCCCTTCTCTGGTCACTAGCTGCACCTCTGGGGTCATGTGGCCGGAATGTCATCAAAGAAGACCTCTATTAATTGATAAAGGTGAACCCATGTCCCTTGTATGGTCACTAGGAGCTAGCTGCAACACTGGGGTCATGTGACCAGAATGTCATCAAAGAAAACCTCTATTGATTGATAAAGGTGAACCCATGTCCCTTGTATGGTCACTAGGAGCTAGCTGCAACACTGGGGTCATGTGACCAGAATGTCATCAAAGAAGACCTCTATTATTAATAAAGGTGAACCCATGTCCCTTGTATGGTCACTAGGAACTAGCTGCACCTCTGGGGTCATGTGACCGGAATGTCATCAAAGAAGACCTCTATTAATTGATAAAGGTGAACCCATGTCCCTTGTATGGTCACTAGGAGCTAGCTGCAACACTGGGGTCATGTGACCAGAATGTCATCAAAGAAAACCTCTATTGATTGATAAAGGTGAACCCATGTCCCTTGTATGGTCACTAGGAACTAGCTGCACCTCTGGCATCATGTGACCAGAATGCCATCAAAGAAGACCTCTATTATTAATAAAGGTGAACCCATATCCCTTGTATGGTCACTAGGAGCTAGCTGCACCTCTGGGGTCATGTGACCAGAATGTCATCAAAGATAAAGGTGAACCCATATCCCTTGTATGGTCACTTGGAGCAAGCTGAACCTCTGGGGTCATGTGA